AGACCATCTGCTTTTAAAGTCACCATCGGCACCAGCTTACTCCCTGTCCTCTTCACTTGCTCTGACAGCAGCATGAATATCACCTGGGGGATACTCTGAGTCAGTGAGTCTGGGTGCAGGGCCTGGCATTCGATGCAGTAACAAGCCCCCCAGGAGACTCTGATGTTCACTGAAGCCCGAAAGCCATCAGAGAGAGATGGCATGATTTTGAAGACTCTCAGGCATTTTAAACTCCCTTTCCCTTTTTGTTGTCTTTACTAATATAATTATCCCTGAGAGTAAAACAGCGTTAAACTGCAGTGCCATCCTCCCCTGGGGAAAAACTAAACATGTTAACGTTTTTCCCAGATGAAGAAAGATTGTTAGATAATGGATAACCCAGAACCCTGTTTAAAAAAAAAAATCCATAACCAAAATAACTGAAGATTATAATGATTATTATCTGATTATTAAGAAAATGAGCTTTGAATCAGACTCAAAATGAATTTAGTAACTAAGTTTCCTCTTAATAAAAAATGTGGCCTTGATACAATTATTTAATATTTTGAGTTTTAGTTCCCATTGCAATAAAATAGATATTATACTTAGCCGTAAAAGTTGTTTGTATTAAAAGTGAAAGTATATATAGAACATTCAGTATAGACCCTGGATTAAATTAAATGTTTAGTGAAGTGTACCTATTGTTATTATACCTTATTTTATGTTTCTGAGGTAAGGATTGTTATTCTCCTTCCAGACAGGAGAAGGAAGAAGAGCAAAGAGCATGAAAGGTGCATGCAGACTAGGTCAGCCTCCCCTTAAAAGAAAGTTCTCAAAAACCCAACCCAAAGCCATCTGCAGGGCTTACATCCAATTAGACCAAACTGAGTCTTGTGACCACCAGTCCTGTAAGGAAGGATGGGAAATATGGTTCTCTCTCTTTTTTTCTTAAGTGGGTGCCTTAGTATAGTACCACCCCCAAAATTGGGAGTTTGCATTTAAAGATTGTTTTATTTTTTATTTTATTTTAAATTTGTGGGATACAATTCAGGGTTAGGTATGCAAATGTTCATTATGCAGGTACCCTTGTTGATGAGGTGTGCCCTTCCCTCTCCTGGCAGTTTTCCACTACTGCCAATCCCACCCCCCCTTCCCTGACGGTTTCCCACTACTGCCAATCCCTTTCTTATAGTATTATGATAATTGTTCAAGGTCCAC